TCTGGGAAGGACATGAAAGAGAGAGCCCTGTACGGTATATTTCCTGTTATTACTCTAAGGGGAAACAAAGGAAGGACTTGGGTTCCTCCACAAATGAGCAAGAGAGTGGCAGGGTTTGTGTATAGGAGGGGGCTGGTTATGGGTATAAACACACAAGGATGGAAGAGTCCGTGGAGGAGAGGGAAGAGCAAATGGGGTGGGTTCAGATGAGTGTGACTATATAATGTAGAGCATGATGCTGCCAGCACAGCTCAGAGACAGAGTTGCAAACAAGGGCCCTGAGCTTGGTGGAATCATGACACCAGGTGCTCAAGGCTTCAGTGACTGGACCCCAGCCAACAGCTTAGGACAAAGGACACAGGGCTTGAGGCTAGAGGAGGAGTCCTAGGGAAGGAAGGGTGAAGGAGCTGCTTCCCACATCCAGGAACAGGAATAGTGCAGAGCAATGCCCTGAATTTCCACCCAGTTCTATGAACTGGTCAACTCAATGAGGCTTAGAGAGACCTGCTCCCAGGGACCAGGGTTGGCTGAAGCATCTAATTCAGGGCTAAAGCAGCCAGGCTGACTGAACTACCCCTGCTGGGACCCACTCTGCTTGACAAATCCTTCATTCATAAACCACTGTGTGGGAGTATTGCTCAAAAGCTAAATGTGGTGTTAGCCAGCAGCACTGGTGTGGGAACCATATATCCATGGGAAACAGAGACTCAGCTGTACTAGTGCTTGCATTGAAACTCTCCTAGCTGCAACATTTATCAATTCCCCATGGTGGATTCAGCCGAGATATTCAGTAACAGATGAGAGAGGAGCACAGCGTATACTTTCAGCCACAGAAATGTGTGCAGTGTTGAGGGAAGCAAAGGTGAAGTGTGGGCATCGCATTATGTAAGTGAGCAGACACCAGAACACGTGTTCATGCTTCATTTCATACGAAATCTTCCTGTCCTCTGCATGGATGAGAAGGAAGTGGATCAGTCCTCCTGCAGCAGCTGCCACAGTGGCAGGATTGGGGGTTCGAGGGGAGTGAGGATCAAACTCTCCCAACACTGGAGGATGTTAACGTTGTTAGACTGCTACAGATGCATTGAGACAGAATACTACCTTCTCAGGGGCCAACAATAGCAGTGTGTAAAACTGAGGCAAGGAAACTCTTTCCCAAAAGCACTGTATGAAATGCAGTGTAGAACACTGGAATGCATGTGATGTGATTCAAATGAATAGAGAAATAGACAAGCCTTGACAAATGTTCACAAGGTCAGAATCCAGCAGCAGTGTGAGCTGATTATACAGATGTCCTTTGTGAGAAATGAGTGGAGATCTGTAGCACTGACCAAGAATGACTCTGGGCCATGCAGCAGATATGTGAGAGGCACAGAGACCCAACTGGTGGCTTGACCATGGGCTCTGTGTTGAGCTTCCATGAGAGGCAACTTGCTACCTCTAGAATCTCAACACAGTTGTTGAGAAGAAGCCACAGCAGGGGGAGACAGAGAGAGACAGAGAAACAGAGACAGAGACAGAGACAGAAACAGACTGAGAGGCAGAGAGACAAAGACGCACCGACAGAGAGAAACCGAAACAGAGGGACACAGAGGCAGACTGACAATAAACACAGAGAGACAAACAAAAGATACACACAAAGGGAGAGAGAGAGAGAGAAAGAGAGAGAGAGAGAGAGAGAGAGAGAGACAGAGAGAGAGAGAGAGAGAGAGAGAGAGAGAGAGAGAGAGAGAGAGAGAGAGAGAGCCTCCCTGCTATGGAGTTGATGATTATCATCTTGGATGCTACCAAGTTTATCATGACTACATATGACTACATCTTAGATGGGCCAGATATGGTCTTTGTGCTTTGGATGGGTCATGTGTGTGTAACAGAAATTCTGAAAGTCTTCCCACTTGGAAAGGATGTTCTAGGGATAAAGTTAATATATCTGTTAAACATACAAGATAATGACCCAATAGAGGTGAATAAGCTCGTAACCATATTTTAGTGAAAATTTCTCAGGTTTTTAGATTAAAATGTAAAATCATTAATACCTTGAAATTCTTGACCATTTGGATGATTTTGTTTTTCAGAATTGACATGTATACAGAGGGTATTATAGATCTGGGTGACATGATCATGCAACTGGTACTATGTCCCCCAGATGAGAAACAAGCCAAGATTTCCTTGATAAAAGACAGGACCAAAAACCGTTACTTGCCTGCCTTTGAAAAAGTAAGTAGGCTCTTTGAAGTCTGGGAACATTGAGTTCCAAGGACAAGAGATAGGCAGAGGCTCAAGAGAAAGGCCACTGCAGCACTGACACTCCCCGAGCCTCCCTGTGCAGCTCCCTGTCTGTCAGGGCACTGTATAAAAATGGCCTGTGTTGGAGCACTACATGGTCATGCCACTCAGGTGGTCCACATTCAACAGGGTTCATGGCTACAACCAGAACTTGATCTGTGGAAGGCTGACTCATACCAGAGATGGACCTAGATCTTGCAGAGCACAGTGGGCTTCAGTTCCAGAGCAAACTGAAGAAAGTGACAGATGGAGAAATATTCTGTCACATCATACAAGGGGCCCAGAGAGTGACTGGCTGTCAGGAGAATATGATAGTACTTCAAAGATGGAGGAGAAGTTCCTGAACAAGGACAGTGATGGAGGGTGGAGGGAAGGAGGTTGATAAAGAGATGTTAAGGAAAACTGACCAGCAGGAAGTGGAGTCACAGATGCCACTTGGGAGGAGAGACATGCACACTCAGCATATGAGGATGTGTCAGCGTAGATGAGGAGCCTCTCTCAGTCAGGGCTTCTCTTTGGAGGTAGATCAAGAACAGTTCAGAACTACTTGAACTTCTGTCAAGTAAATGTAAGAACGAAGCTATGATCCTAGCGGAAAAGACACCCTACACAGTCCTGAGAGTATCTGACTTTGACCCCAGGTACAAAGCATCACCTTAGTCTTCATTCACCCAGGGAAAGTTCACTCACTGCTGCCTCTGCTCTATGGAAACAGTGAGGGTATTAGGAGCCATCAGATCCTGACACAGCCCTCTGGAGTCAAGGACACAGTGTCCAGTGTTCACAGCTTAAATCATCTCTGGTATGAAATTCATAAACTCCATGTACAACATGAACTATGTACTGAGCACATTTGATGCTTTTGTATTTTTGGTTTTCTTTTAAAAAAAAAAGACAGGGTCTCTCTATTATGTAGCTCTGACTCTCCTGGAATTCTCTATGGGGCCTCGGTCTCAAAGAGATCCACCTGCCTCAGCTTCTTGAAGGCTGGGATGAAATGTGTGTGCCACTACGCCTGACTTTCTTTTGTTTTTGAATGTGGTAACTATATTGTTTCTCTCTAGACATGTATAGAGTAAAAGGTGACCACAGAGCCTTTTAATTGTTCTTTACTTGAAGCTCCTTTTGGTTATCTGTGATTTTCATATTGCTGGAGTATTTAACTATGTGCCTTATGACTGTAACTAAGACAGTGTTATTATTCAATCTTCAAAAACTAGCAATGTTGAAGCAAATGTTAAATACATATGTAGCCACCACTCAGATAGCAAGATTAGCACCATATGGTATTGGTTTTATCGTGCGCCACCTTCATGAGGGTGGATGGTGTAAAGGCCATAGGAATGTGGCAATAACAGAAAAGGGTCAGGCGAGCTTTAAGGAGGAGCTTTCTTGCCCGACTTCTCCCTCTGCCTCTTGCACCACAGGTCTAGAGAAATGTCTGCAGTTGTATGCCTGCCAAGCAGAGGCGGAGCGACACCTTGGGAGACGTGGGGACAGTTAGTGGCTCCAGTGCAACTCTGACTTCATCATCTTTCTCCTTTGATTTTGCAGGTGTTGAAGAGTCATGGACAAGACTACCTTGTTGGCAACAGGCTGAGCAGGGTGGACATTCACCTGCTGGAACTTCTCCTCTATGTTGAAGAGATTGACTCCAGTCTTCTGGCCCCTTTCCCTCTGCTGCAGGTGAGATCACGTCAGAGAGGCAGCCACACACACACACACACACACACACACACACACACACACACACACACACGCACGCACGCACACGCGCACACACACACACACACACACACACCTCTGAGAATAAAATGTTGGCCTGTGGGCTGCTGAGGTCCCATTTGGGCCTCCAAACTGAGCTATAAAGACCCTGGTTTTAGGCATGAAGGTAATCTTTTGCTGTATGGAGATTGCAGGCTGGTACCCCAAGGAGAATATTCCCCTTCTGCACTGAGACAGACTCAGGACTGTTTTTTGCAGGCTGCTTCTGGCCTTCGTCTCCCGTCTCATGTCCTGTCTGTGCACTCTCTGTGTGAGCAGGTGTCTGTCATCTCATCCCCATCCTCAGCTCTGACTTCTCAGCACTCTGTTTCCCTCTCCACAGCTCCCACCATGCTGTCTCCCACCCCAGGGACCCCATCCCTACCCCCATTGTGACAACCGGCTGTGAGTCGTTCCTGGTTAGACTTTGATATTTCTGTCCCCATTTCCAACTCAGAGCTTCGTGTCTTCAGTTTTCTTTGGTAGTCTCTCCTTTCACACCTGAGAGACTCAGTGCTCTGTGCTCTGCCCCACAAAACCGGATCTACATGGTGTGTCCTGAGGAGAAGGTGTTGATGTCACAGGAGGTCTTAAGGGAGGTTATGCTGACCCATGGTTTCTAGCTCATGGTTTTGTCATTCTCTCTGTGTCTACACTGGAGCTGTGACAAGGATGCAGGTGGTCGTGTTCTGGGAGGGGCTCAGATTTTTTTGGACTGTCCACACAAGCGGCTCTGACTCTCAGGCTGTGTTTTCTGGATTACAGGCCCTGAAGAGCAGACTCAGCAGCCTGCCCAATGTGAAGAAGTTCCTACAGCCTGGCAGCCAGAGAAAGCCTCCCACTGATGAGAAAACAATTGAAAAGGCAAGGAAGGTTTTCAAGTTTAAATAAAGCTGAATTGATGGAGGCCATAATACTAGTTTCTGATTTTATTTCATTTTTTTTTTTGTAAAAGTGAGAAGCAACTGTGGATCCTGGCTATTGTGAGGTAATAAGCATGAACAAATGATATATGCATTTCATTGTGTTCAACATGTTGAGCTGGTATTGCAGGCATCACATTCAAAGAGGAAGGCAAACAATCACCACTACAAACAAAAGCAAAGCTTGTAAAAAAACGAGAAAAGAAAAGCTAAATAAGAACACTAGCAAAGGAAAAGGAGTAATTAACATCAATGTAGAATAAACCAAAAAGTTTAAAACTAAAGTTAATTAAACGGAAGAAATGAAAAGAAATATGGAAAAAAAGAAGAAAATTTTGTTTTAAAAAAGACACTGCAAGTTTGGTGAACACACATTAGGTATCTAGTGAAAGATTTTTTTCAAGGAAAAATTAATGAAGAAAAAACAAACATTTTAAAATAGTGAGAGAGTCTGGAGAGCGGCTCAGAAGTGGAGAGCACTGGTTGCTCATGCAGAGGACCAGGTTAGACCCCAGCATCTACATGACATCTCACAAGCATCTGTCACCCCAGCTCCATAGGACCCTAGGTCCTCCTCTGACCTCTGTGACACGGGACACCCATGATACGTACACATGCATGTTGACAAAACACCTCAACACATAAAATAAAAATTAAAAATATTTTAATAGTAAAAATAAAAGAGAGGGAAATACATATTCAAGCAAAATAACAGTAACAGAAAATGTCTCTGAAAAATTTCTGTCTTTAGCTAGGTGTGGTGACATATGCCTTTAATTCCAGCAGTTGGGAAGCAGAGCTACATGGATCTCTGTGAGTTTGAGGTCAGCCTGGTCTCTGTAGTGAGTTCCAGTACAGTCAGACCTATACAATAGTGATGTCCTTTCTCATAAAATGCAAAACAATACTGTGTCCTTGCCCCCACTGGTGTCTCCTGACTTCATCCTTCCATTTAACATCAAACCTCCAGGCCCAGTCCTGTCCTGCACAACTTCTGTTGAGGGCTAGCCTGGTGGGTCTACCTAATCCTACTTTCTGCATACCCTTCCCCTTCCTCAGATCTAGCCTGGGCTCCACACCCATCACCCTGGTATATTCTGGTCATCGACCTCCAACTCAGGCCAGGATGCACATCTTGCACACAAATCATCCCCTCCCCCGGCTGTGGGAGGCACAGTGGTCCTTGTGCTCACAGAGACGCAGGAGGGGAACTAGGAATGTTAAATATGCAAGGTTGTCCATTCAAAGACAGAGCCGTACTACATTTTTTCCTTGTAACTATATAGGTGTGGTTTCCCTCCAAAATCCACATATTAGGTTGAAAGATAACACCTAAAATTCACATAGAACCACAAAGCAAACCTGAACAAGAATAGATAGATAGATAGACAGATAGACAGATATAGATATATATCTCAAAAATCAAATCAAGAAAGCAAATCACCCAATTAAAAATGGCCTGTGGGTCTGAACAAAGAATTATCAAAAGAAATAAAAATGACTAAGAAATATGTTTTTTAAAAATTTTTCCTTTGCTCGTAGCAATTAGGGAAATAAAAATTAAACCAATTTTAAGGTTTAATCTTTCCCCCATTCCCAATTGCTAGGCACAACAAAAAACTGACAGCAAATGCAGATGAGGGTGTGGGGAAAGGGAAACCTTTCTCGCCAGTGCTGGGATTGCAGGCCAGTGAAGCCACTCTGGAAATCAGGGCGGAGAATGCCCAAAACAACAAAAATTAAATCTGCATTGGATTTAGCCACACCACTATTGACCATGTACCTGCCCTGAAAGACTCAACATTGTACTCTACAGACATTTACTCAAGTCATGTCTATTGCCACTTTATGCACAACAGCTAGGAAATGGAAACAACGAAAACGTCTTTCAACATACACACTGTACAATGCTGTTCAGCTATGAGAAAATAATGAAATCATGGATGAAACAGGAAGATATTTGAGTGAGGTCATCTAGACCCAGATAGGCAACACCACACCTACTCGCTCATCTGGGGTTCCTAATTCCAAATCTTCAGGTGTGAATACACAGCCTGGAGTAATCTAAGAAATGACAAAATTTTAGAAAGACCATGGGGGAGCGCCAGAGTGGAGACTAGCAAGATACAAATGGCATGAAAGGGAAGACGGGGAGAAGGAGGGGGATATATGTGGAGGGGTGGGGGACACAATATATAAGGAATGGGAGGGAAAAACCAAATCACTAAGAATGTGTGAAAATGTCATAAGGAATTCCATTGGTTTATATTTACATGCTATTACAAACATGTGCAGGCTAGTTTTATGTCAGTTTGACAAATCTAGGAAGAGGGAACCTCAAATGACAAAATATCGCCCCTAGAATGGCTTGTAAGCACATCTGTAGTGCATTTTCCTAATTAGTAATCGATGTAAAAGGGCCCCCAGCCCACCGTAAGTGGGGCTACCTTCCGGAAGATGGTTCTCAGGTGCGTGAGGAACCCGACTGAAGAAGCCTGAGGAGCAAGCCAGCAATCAGCAATTCTCCATGGCCTCTGCTTCAGCTCCTGCCTCCAGGCTGCAGTCTTTAGTTCCTATCCTGACTTGCTGGTGAACAGCAAGTACTGGTGAAGGTGTCACAAGATAACTCACTGGGAAAAGGCATCATACGTATGTGCACACTTACATGCAAATAAATAAGTGTAAAATAAAATGGCTGGTGACCTCATTGACTGCTGGTGACATGTAACTTTGTACAGCTGCTGTGAAAAACATCGTAGAAGGTCCTCCCAAAACAGAAAATAATACCACATTAGTGCATTCCTGGGTATATACCTAAAGCCTCCAGGTGTGTGACCACAGAGGTAACTGCATCTCCATGATTCACGACAGTGGGAATTGGAAACAGCCTAGAGGAAGATCAGCAGATAAAGATCTATGGGATGCATACACAATGGAATTTCATGCACCATCAAAGAAAAATGAAATAGTGGCATTTTCATGAAAATAGAAGGGACTGGAAGTCATTACATTAGGTGGAATTAGCGAGACTCTGAGTGAGAAATGCCCTAGAATTCCTCTTATGTAAAGGTGTGTGTGTGTGTGTTTGTGTGTGTGTATTCATGTTTGTTGGTCACACAATAGAAAGAAGATTATGAGAGAAGAGAGGGTCATGGAAGGGAAGAGAAAAGTCGAACTGCCACGCCAAACTCACCTGGGGAAGCAAGGGCTTCCCTTAGCTGGAGGGGAGAGGATGATGGGGTAAGAGAGCAATGAATGATGCATGCATTTGAAGACATCCTGATGGAACCCATTACTTTCTGTGATAACCTAAAAATTTCAAAATTAGATTCCACTCACAATTTAAAGAGTAATAAGGAAATAAGCTCAAAGTTGTGACTTTGACAGTGCTGTGACTGCTTTAACAAAAAGCAGTTATAACTATTGCATGTTCACTATGATAAAAGGCAAGATAGTAAGAGCCTTGTTCGGCCACTCACTGTTATGTGACCCTGGAGAAGGCGTACAGCTCCTACTGTATCTGAGGACCAAGGGAATGACCAGGAAGCTGTGCCATTGGGGTTGTTTAGAACTCTGAAATTCAGAAAAGTAAGCTCCTAAATGTTAGCAAAAACACTCAGAGAACTAGTTACTCAAATAGTTTTCTTTTATTTTTGAGATTATAATGTAATTATATCATTTTCCCCTTCCAAGCCCTCAAAGGCATCCTCCGTGCTCTTTCAAATTCATAGCCTTTTCTCACTAACTGTTCTTACAGCCTGTGCATACACATGTATAGCTATCTGTTCTTTAAAACTATATCACTTTGCTTTGCATCTGAAAGCAGGGCCATCCTACATTGGCCAGGATGACTGAGAATTCAAGGTCTGCCTGTCTCTCCCTTCCAGGTCCCAGGATTGAAGCCATCACTCCCGACCTAAGACTCTACCATTTAAGAGAAGGTAATGTAGTCATGATTTAGCAACCAAGAATGCAGTCTATTTGTATTATACATTTTGGCTTCTTAACTATGCACAGTTTACTTTTGACATGCTAAGCCCTGCATTAAGTAACTCCAGACCACTCAACCTGCCTCTCTCTGTTCAAAGTGCCTGTCAAGTCTGCTCCCTCCACCCAGGCTCTAGATTTTACACACACACACACACACACACACACACACACACACACACACACACACACACACCCGCGGTCACTGGGGCTTGACCATCAGTTATCCTCATCTGTCCCTGGACTGTCCCGCTCCACATCCCATTGCCATTTTCTCAGGAGCAAGCTTATTATTCTCTTATAACTCTCACCTCTCCATTTCCAGCCCATGCTCCTCCCCACCCCACCCCACCCCCCAAAAAAAATAAACCAAGCCTAGGATTTCCTACCCTGGGGGATCTATTCTGCTTACTATGTGTGGGGGGGGCAAATCCCACGATCATATCCCTTAAGCATCTTCACGTAAAATCTCCTTCTCAGTCTAACTCAGCTTCTAGAAAGCTGGGCCTGAAACTTCACTGCTTCTGCTGGGATGCAGGTCCAGGTGAAAGCCTCAACTCCAGCAGAGGGCATACAAGGCTCTTCCAGAAAAAATTCACACACACCCTAATTTTCATGGGAAACCCAAAGGACTATATAAAGATGTATTTTACCTCTTCATTTCACCTGATAAAGATTAAGCTGGGGAGTGATGGCCCTTGCCTTTAATTCCAGCACTCGGGAGCCAGAAGTAAGCAGATCTCTTGAGTTCAAGGCCAGCCTGGTTTACAAAGCAAGTTCCAGGACAGCCAGAGCTACAGAGAGAAAGCTCTTCTCGAAAAACAAACAAAAGAGAGTGAGAGTGACAGAGGAGAGAGAGTGAGGTGAGAGATGAGAGAGGGAGGGAGGGAGAGAGGGAGGGAGGGAAAGAGGGAGGGAGGGAAAGAGGGAGGGAGGGAAAGAGGGAGGGAGAGAGAGAGAACTTGGAGCCAAATGCACCTTTTATTTATTATCAAACCATTAGAAATCCATTTAAGAACAGGGCATTGCAATAATGAAAACCTGGATACAGTTAAAAACATTGGTAAAACTCCACACCCTTTCCCACCCCTCTTGGCACAAACAGTTCTGGAGCTTGCTGTCCTTGTCTCCGGGCTAGCCGGCGTTTTCCCAGCAAGGCTCCTGTCCGTGTTGAAGGCATCTGGACAGCCCTCCACCTTAAATGAAGTGTCTCGAAGCCCACCACACAGGACTTTGCAGGCCCCTGGCCCAAGCTCTGGCTAAAAAGAAAGCAGCTGGTCAGGAGCACGCTTGCAGAGGTGTTTTTACAGGGGTAATTGTGGACTTGGGCCTGCACCAGAGTCTTCTGGAGGGTTGCTAAGTTTCGCCTCTCCAATTTCTGGTTCTGTGGTAGTGAAGAAGGTGCCTGAGTGGATTAAGAGTTTTAACCAATGCCTGGGTGACCCTGATGCTGCTGCGCCTCAGACTCACGATCAGGTGAAGCTAAGCAATGGGCCAGGCAGAGATTTGACAAATTACACCCCTCTAGAGAGCATCTACTTAGGGACCCAGTTCCACACCTGGAAAGCACAGACAAGATCTTCTCTATGTGCATCAAATGCACAGCTCCCTTAACCAGCTGCAGCTGGCTGGTCCTAGGCTGAAAGACCTAGAGACTGTTAGATTGATGGGGTGGTGGTTTTCAGAACTCTCTGCCCCCGGCCTTCAGATGATGGAACTAGCTAGAGGGAATACAAACGGTGGGAAAAACTACCTTTTTAGACCCCCGAAAATAAAATGCCCTCTACTGGGATACATGAAGCCATTTACCTCGATTTCGTTTGCTCCGGAGATTGTAAGCTAGCGACACAATGAGAACCATTGCAAAATTCCTTAAATTTTCCACTCCGTGAATATACAGGACCACGCCACTTGTGTCAATTCTAACTATTATATTAACCATGTAGGTATCCTCGAAGTCCACCATCAATTCATTCTTCAATCCTGGGAAGGGAAGAGGATGCTCAGCCAGCAGCAGCAGCCCCAATCAATCCCCAGGAAGACAGCGGGTTAAGATGGGAGAAGTAATTCTAGGCCCCCAAGGAAAGGGACACTTCTGTGGGGCCCACCTAGACTTCGCTGACATCTTGTCTACCTTTCTAAGAGATGCTGGATCAGGGACCCACTGGGCCAGGGAATTTGGTAGCAATTACCAGACTGTGTTCAGCTGGATACAAGCTCCCATCATGCTCACCAAACAATCCCTTGAAGACCCACAACTCCAGGTGGACGGGCAGAAAGGCCACATGGGCATCGAAAGCTGGAGCTAGCCTGTGGAGATCATAAAAGGCCCTGAAATGTGTGTGAAAACCAGACAGCTTCCTTGCTCTGAAAGGAAGGGGCTTCAGAAGGTCCTGTCTGGCCCCACCTTCTTCTAAATGGTGCCTTCTGCCCTCTCCTTCCCATGCCTCCTCCCCTCAACACACCTATGGTCCCGGGCTCACTGGGTTATTGGTCAGTTTCTCATTTCTTTTCTTTCAGTCACTGCCCATTTACATTTGTTCCTGCATCTAAGATCCCTACAACACTACTCAATGCTCCAAAGTCTGGACATTGGCAAGGAGCCTTCTGCTGATGAATCAACCTTTTAGGGCTCTCTCTGACCAGGAACACCACATGCCAAGAATCTAGAGTCAGGGGAGGCTGCTGTCAACGGAACCCACACCTGCTCAGAGGATTCCCTTATCCCCAAAGGCTCCATAGTTTCATAGAGGTCCATCTCCACCTCCCGCATAATCTGTCCTGCAGTCCCAACGTTACACCTAACCTCAAGGGTCATACATTGAAGATCCTGGACACAGACCTCAGGTCTATTATGGTGAAATCCATGCAGCTAGATGTTGGCTGAAATCTAGATTGCCCAGGCGAGAAACCCTGAGGTGAAGGAACCTGTACGTGGGCTCAAGGCCTGAGTAGAGGCGCGAATGCAGGATTCTCTCTACTTGGGCATTCTAAATGCCCTGAGACAGCAGACACCTGGAGGAAGCCAATCAGCTTTCTCACAGGTGGATACCTCCCTGGCCTCCCTCTCCAGCCAAGCACACTCAACCCTACTTCTCTCTGTCCTGTGCGGCTGCTCTCTTGTGTCTTCCTGCCCACTCGGATCCAGGCTTCTCTTGTGTCTCTGACCACACCTGCTCGTGGTTGGTAGCCTGCCAGAGCAGAATGGGGTCTGTGAGTGATGGGGGGCCAGATCCAATCCTGATGCTTTGGAATCACCCTACCTTTTAGTCTGCTTCAGGCCCACCAGCCTCCAACACACCTATCGGAGCAAATACATTGGCACACCTGTGACTGTATTGCGCTCAAGTATCTGAGATACTCATGCGGGGGATGTTGTAGTCCCTGACATAGGACTGTGAATCCTGACATTAGCAGGAGACTTAAGTGTTGTCAGAACTCTTTCAAGCTGGAAGCTGTCAGGGAGGCGGTATGCAGAATACTGTCTGCTGAACCTTGGGTACAGTCCTGATTTGACCAGTTCCATGTGTGATCTTAGGCATTACTTTAGGAAACATGCGTTTTAGAGATCGAAAAGAAAATAAGAATTAGGGTGGCAAAGGGTGATCAAGAGTTGGAGCTAGGCATGAGTTACTGCTGAATTCCTTTTTGTTAGTGTCTCAGGACGGGGCTTTCTCTTTGGCCTAGGCATACTCAAACCTCATACCATGCGTGTGTACA